TTGCTTTGTTTTGTTTTTTTGAATGTCCAGAGGACCAGGTTGAACTTTTTTGGATAAGATCATTTCTGTTTTTCAGATTGAAAACAAACGTTTGTTCTGATTTTCCACGCCCCAATGGAATAAAAGGTAAGCTACTCACACCATGACATCACTTTAAACAAAAATATGCATTTTGTTTAAACCAATTCCTTCCTTGCTATGTTTTGTAGGTGCAGCTTATCTGAAACGGGTGTCAAGCAAATTGCTTGAACTTAGACGCAAGAAGTTCTCCTTAAATAGTCCAACTGGTGCCACGTTGACGATCGGACCACTGGAGGACACGGAGTACAGAGAGAATCCTGGTGAGCTGGACGGGTGCAGCAAGTTCTATCTTTCTACGACAGGAAAAATGGAGGTCATCGGTTACGTGGAGGGCACACATTACCCTTGTGAGCAGCTCATCCTGATGATATGTGGCGATGGGAAGATGTATGGTTATGATGGAGATGAGCTTCATGAGGTGGCTTCCAGTCTGAGCCATCTCTTTGAAGTGGGAATAGACTACCCTGCATCCAGTAGCTATTACTATGGGGAGGCCTTCAAACATATGGTGAGTCACTGATGGAGAACATGCATGTTTTTATGGTGGCTTTAATGAGGGGTCACCTGATAATGGTTATTTGTTATCTGTCACGCTTAGACCACAGAGGACTGGGACACGGTGAGGAGCAGCCCTCAAGTGAAGAAGCTGGAAGAAAAGCGCCGTGAACTGATCGCTTCACCCTCACGCAAATCCAAAGTCTTGGAGTTGATTGAAAAGAGCAAACAGAAACGGAGGTAGCTGTCCATATCTTGGGGGATGACTTAAAAATGTGATCTCTCCTTTTGTTGTGTATTTAAAACTGTTTAACACCTTTTTAAAAGTCCTTGAACTGTGTCTAAATCTTTAACCTAATGAAGGCTATTACTGTGTCTCTGTGTTGAGGTGGCTGCGGCAGTTCAGACGTGAACAATATTAAAACATAAACATGACTGACACCAGCCTACTGCGACTGTTGAAGGGATCTCTGACTAGTTGGGACGATGTTGGATAAACAATTACTTCAGTTATAAAAACAAGACACTAAAAATACTGTAGGCTTAGCTTTTATAATTTTCCAAAGATTTGACACACTCTGGGTAAATGACGTAGACAGAGTGCTCCATTCAGCTTGAATTTAACTGACTTTATTAGACGTTCAGCCCTTTATTTTAAACTGGAGCACTTTGACTCTTAATGACTTAACAGCATTAGCCCCAGAGCTAATATGTGTAGCGTTAGCTCCAGAGC